TCTCTCTCTCTCTCTCTCTGATGAGGGACTGACTGATAGAGCACCTGGATTAACCTCGGACGCTGGCGTGCAGAGCAGGCCGGAATTTATCACCCGGCGTATTGATCGCCCCCCTCGCTTTCAGAAGGCTGAGGAGAACCGTCCACACGATCGATTTAAACACCAGAGAAAGACACAGACACCCCAAACTACCCCCCCACCGTCCATTACTGACCAAACAGCTACCCACATACTAACAGCACTCATACTGACCACAGCCTTAAATATGGATCACACCTCAAATACTGACCACAGCCTCAAATATTCATCACAGCCTTAATTACTGACCACACTTCAATTACTGAATTCAGCCTCAAATACTGACCATACCTCAAATACTGACCACAGTCTCAAATACTGACCACACCTCAAATACTGACCATACCTCAAATACAAACACAGCCTCAAACATTCATCACAGCCTTAATTACTGACCACACTTCAACTACTGTATACAGCCTTAACTACTGATAACACCTCAAATGCTGACCACAGCTTCAAATATTGAACACAGCCTCAAATACTGACCATACCTAAAATACTAACCACACCTCAAATACTGACCACAGTCTCAAATACTGATCACACCTAAAATACTGAGCACAGCCTTAAATACTGACCACAACCTCAAATACTGACCATATCTCAAATACTGACCATACCTAAAATACTAACCACACCTCAAATACTGAATACAGCCTCAAATACTGATCACAGCCTCAAATAATAATCACAACCTTAAATACTGACCACACCTCAAATACTGACCACCTCGAGAGATGTAGGTCTATCAGTGGTAACTGAAGCGAGTCTGCAGGGACTCAAACAAATATTAAAAAATATTTTATGATATAAAAAAATCTAATTTACAGAGTAAATAAAGGTGTTTCTGTCCATTTGTTCAAAACAGCAAATTTAGGGAATTAAAAACTCCTTAAATCTTTTCTGCTTTCATTTTTTACATGGAGATAAAAAAGGAGTGAACTTGAAAGCGAGGAACAAAAACAGAAAGCACGATAAAAAAACAATCATACAGACAAAAAAGACAAAATCTTCATTCTTCTATTTTTTTTTTTTTTTGCATAGACAGAAAAGAATGAATGTGGGGACAGAAAACCGCATGATCAAAAAGATCAAACCCAAGTAAGAAAAAAGACAAAGAATAATTTTGAGGAACAGCAACAAAATATTCACACATTCTTAAATGACCGTTACAAAAATGACATAATAAAAAACTTTTCTTCTTTTCTTCACGGCCACAAAAGAGTGAATTTACAGAAGAAACAAAACTCCAGAAACTTCTTTCTTCCTTTTTTTCTTCAAAGGAAGTGAACTGAGGGAACGGAATGAAAACAGAGATCTTTCCTCTGTGCTGCTCCAGTCTGAGCTCGTTTAGCTGCTCTCACATCTCCACTTCTCGCCGACGACTCAGACTCAGAATCTCTCTCTTTTATTTTTAATTCATCAGCTGAATGTAAACAGCTCCGCGCTGGTTTTCATGCTCCTTTTACATCTCAATAGATCAGGAGAACGCAGGAGAACCGGGGGCGTTCGCCCTCAAAGTGTCGTGCCCTGTTTCGCTACCGTTTCTGGGCCGAAGCACGTTTCGTTGATACGGTGTGAAATGGTGCGCTGCAGCTCTGAGGTGCGTTTTCTCTTGTTTGATTGGCGTGTCAGAGGTGACAGCCAATCAGCAGCGACGTGTATATAAACCCTGCCGTGGATTCTAATAAAGTCCTCTATAAGGTATATAGGTTTATTTCATCTATCTGCACATTTGGACACCTTACTGTACATATTGCACTTTCTGCACACCTTACTGCACATCTGGCACATCTGGACACTCCACACCTGGACACTTTAGACACTTTATTTCAGTACCAATATCTGCACATATTTATTCAGTATTGTCATTATCTGCTGTTACCTGAGCCTCCTTGTACAGTCATTACTGCACTGCCTTTATCTCAGGATGGATCTTATTGCATATTTTTTGTATATTTTTAGTTATATATTTGCCTGTAGATGTTTTTTTGTATATATTATCATCTTTTTATATTGTATCACTCTTATTATTATTACTGTCCTATGTTGCGTGACTCATACTTGCTGCTATATGTCCTTTGGGATCAATAAAGTATGTATGTATGTATCTATCTATCTCTTAAAGACAGCAGCAGATGTATTTTGAAGTAATAAACACATTTTTAAACCCATTTCACTTCAGATTCTTTAAAAACAGTGACAAGAATGGCGTTCTCAGCCGCCATAGTCGCAACACTTGCGTGAGTATTCAACGCAGCACCGTTTCCGTTTAAATAAACGTTCTGCTGCATTTTGTCGGCTGAACGCAGCCCTGGGCTCTGCTGTGATCTGTGTCTGTAAGTTAAAACACTGTTTCAGCCTGTAATCCTTCAGCGGTTCTATGGAGCGTCACACCTGCCGACACAAGATCAAACACCGTCACTCGCAGCTGCACTCAATTACCCAGAATCCCTGCCAAACCAAGAGGAGACGTCGCTCGGAACTAATCTCCCACAATGCCCTGCGGTTAAAGGACGGCGGTTGGCGGTAAGTTTGACTGTTCCACTCGGGGATCGATGAAGAGGCAGAATCTCCACAGGAACCACCAGCAAAACACCAAATACGTTAACTGTGCTCCTGGAATGGGCCGCTGGTAGGGACAGGCATCCGGATTATTTTGATATCTGAGTGTCTGTAAGAGTTACATTTGATCAACTAACTGTAGAGAAGGAAAAAGAATAGAAAAAAAGGCCAAAGTTGAAATTTTTGTAGGGCCATAGTTTCAGTTTTTAGGTTATAGAGGCCACAAAGCACAGGAGCACATAGAGGAATACCTGCTTTATCATTATTACCCAAAAACAGACGAGAGAAAGCAGCAGGCTTTTGTGTTGGGTGAGTAACAGAGGCTGCCTGTACATTATATATATAAATCTTCCTGTATGGAAGAGTAATAGATGCCCAAAGTCGTTAGCAGGACTGTCCACTATGACCAAAAATCTCAATATTTTTTCCATATCACTCATTTTCAATAATTATTAAATCTTCTGAGTTTTATATGAAATGTTTATGATGGTAAAATAGTAAAAAATCTGAAATAATACGTTTTCTTTGGGGACTATTTTGCCTCACAGCGCCCTGAATATATCCCTCCACCATGAATGTCTCTTAAACAATATGTTTTAGTCCAAAATCCTCTCAAAGCTATCATAAAACAGTGTCTCAGTCATCAGGCAGTGAATTCATAACCATTTCATGTAGGAACTTTCTGTGAGGGAGCTTTTAGAGGTGGACGTCTGGTTCCTATCACCACCACTGTGAACAGTTCTGACTCTGTAAGTTTATCTAGAACGGAGCGTTTCACACCAAACCACTCTGAACCGCTCTGTTTACATCACACATGAAATTATGCAGAAATTTGGAAAAATGGGTGAAACTTTGTTGATTACAATTGGATTTAAGTTTGGGGTTGAGGTTAATATTCAGTTTACTAGATTTAGTTGATTTAGTTCAAGGTATCTACAAAGCATCTACAGTGGACCTTCAAAATGAAGAGATTATTAATACACATAATAATATCCGTGCCATCCGCTCAACGCCATAGCGACCCACAGCCCATTTCACCACCGCACACCAGCCGCTGCTCGCGTTAACTCCAGCCAGCTCACCTGATGGGGTAGTCTGCAGCGCTCAGGTTGATGAAGAAGTCCCAGGGCCACTCGGTCATGGCCAGCAGGTCCCTCATGCTCTGCAGGTACATACTCAGCAGGCTGGCGCCACCCCAGATGGTGGACATGCGCCAGGGAGTGATCCGCACGTTCGGGTACTGGTTGGCCAGCGCCAACATCTGCCTGTGGAGGTAATTCGACCGCTGTGGAAAGACAAAAAGAGGCTTACTTTAGGACACTGACCACATGATCAGAAATCAGGTCACACTGATCAGCAGGGGTTTTCATTTTCAATCAGAAGTTTGAACACTTCAGTCAGATTCCTCACTGTTGTTGATTTTCTAAGTGATAATAAGTGAACTCACATAAATAAGGCACTGTCTGCAAATTTTAGTGCATGATTTTTATTTATTTGCCAAGTTTAACACGTTGGGAAAAAATAAGACATAATATATAAAATGTGCCATAACTTTTGCACAGCCCACATTTTCTGATAGATTTTTTCCCCCAATATGTTAAATTCAGCCAATGAACGGTATTTGTACATTAAAATGTGCAGAAGTGTGTTTACTGCATGGCTTTCTGAGGCAGCCAATCAGAACAGAGCTTGTTTACATACACCAGTCTTAAAGGCACAGTAACAAAAACAGCCTGTTTAATTCTAATGTATAAACGGTCACATAAAAATTGATTATGACCATTTCTAGTACATAAACCACACAGTTTCTTTTGGTGGGGGCTGTATTATTACAAAATTGTCTAATAACACCTTACAAATTAAAATACTAACTTTAATTTAAATGCCCATACTTAGTTTCATCTGGGGTAAGAGGTAAAGTGTGTAAAGTTCAACTTTGGGTGAACTATCCCTTTACAGAGGAATTTTGCCAATTTTCTAAATTTGAATAAACAGCATGAATAAACGGTTGATATTTAATCAGAGGGGTTCAGAGCGGGTTAGAGTGGTTCAGAGTGGTTTGGTGTGAAACGCCCTGTTCTAGATAAACTTAGCGAGTCAGAACTGTTCACAGTGGTGGTGATAGGAACCAGACGTCCACCTCTAAAAGCTCCCTCACAGAAAGTTACTACATGAAATGGTTATGAATTCACTGCCTGATGACTGAGACACTGTTTTATGATTTTATGGTTTTGAGAAGATTTTAGACTAAAACATATTTTTAAGAGCCGTTCATGGTGGAGGGATACATGCAGGGAGCTGTGAGGCAAAATAGTCCCCACAGAAAACTTTTTTTGTTCAGATTTACCACTATTTCACCATCATCACCATACAGATAAAAGCTCCCCAATTTCACACCAAACCACTCTGAATGACTCTGTTTGCTTCTCAAGCACTGAATTATGCAGAATTTTTAAAAAAATTGGTGGAACTGCCCTTTAACTCATGCATGTTATTACTGATGAGACACTCCTGGTCTAAAGAACAACATCTGGCTGGTTTTTACATGTCGGCGCATTTTTTTTTGCTCTTTTCTCTGCGCCCCTCTCTCCTCCTCTTTAGATGGCTTTGATCCGCTCGTGCGCTCCCTCCATGTTCCTCCCACGTTTTTAACGGCTCATGAAAGCGGCGCAGGAAGAGAGGAGCTGGAGAGATAGAGAGGCAGAGACTCCGGCTGATTGACTGATTGAAAGGCAGTCATTTCATCACATCCTTTAGGGATTAGAAGACGGCGGGTTTAAACCCCCCCACCAACTCATTCCTGCCATAACCTGAAGTAGTTCATCAAGTGTATGCTAGGCTGTGTAATTAAGGCGGGGTGGGGGGGATGTAGGGGGTGTGTAGAGGGGTGCACCACGTCTGTGCTGCGCTACATGTCTGAATAAACAGGCTTTCATGTTCCCACTCCGTCGCTCGCTGTGTGTGCGGAGGGAGAAAAAATGGTAACTAAGCCACTGAAGTGCTGCTCTGTAATAATCCCCCATCAGCCTTTTCAAACAGCTTATTGAATGAGGAGCGCCGCTCGGAAACCTGCTGTTTATCTAGCAGCCTCCTCTCTCTCCTCCCCTCATCCCCCTCTCCTCTCCTCCCTCCAGGTAGCTCCTGTGTTAGAGGATGTGCGCCGCAGGAGAGGAACACAAGCCAAACTGGAAATCTCTCCCTCATTTCCTCTGTCAATATCAGACATTATAAAGGGGAACTCCACCAATTTCCCAAAATTTCTGCACAATTCAACAGGTAAGACGCGAACAGCGTCATTCAGAGTGGTTTGGTGTCAACTTACCAGGTCAGAGCTGTTCACAGTGGTGGTGATAGGAACCAGACGTCCACCTCTAAAAGCTCCCTCACAGAAAGTTACTACATGAAATGGTTATGAATTCACTGCCTGATGACTGAGACACTGTTTTATGATTTTATGGTTTTGAGAAGATTTTAGACTAAAACATATTTTTAAGAGCCGTTCATGGTGGAGGGATACATGCAGGGAGCTGTGAGGCAAAATAGTCCCCACAGAAAACTTTTTTTGTTCAGATTTACCACTATTTCACCATCATCACCATACAGATAAAAGCTCCCCAATTTCACACCAAACCACTCTGAATGACTCTGTTTGCTTCTCAAGCACTGAATTATGCAGAATTTTTAAAAAAATTGGTGGAACTGCCCTTTAACTCATGCATGTTATTACTGATGAGACACTCCTGGTCTAAAGAACAACATCTGGCTGGTTTTTACATGTCGGCGCATTTTTTTTTGCTCTTTTCTCTGCGCCCCTCTCTCCTCCTCTTTAGATGGCTTTGATCCGCTCGTGCGCTCCCTCCATGTTCCTCCCACGTTTTTAACGGCTCATGAAAGCGGCGCAGGAAGAGAGGAGCTGGAGAGATAGAGAGGCAGAGACTCCGGCTGATTGACTGATTGAAAGGCAGTCATTTCATCACATCCTTTAGGGATTAGAAGACGGCGGGTTTAAACCCCCCCACCAACTCATTCCTGCCATAACCTGAAGTAGTTCATCAAGTGTATGCTAGGCTGTGTAATTAAGGCGGGGTGGGGGGGATGTAGGGGGTGTGTAGAGGGGTGCACCACGTCTGTGCTGCGCTACATGTCTGAATAAACAGGCTTTCATGTTCCCACTCCGTCGCTCGCTGTGTGTGCGGAGGGAGAAAAAATGGTAACTAAGCCACTGAAGTGCTGCTCTGTAATAATCCCCCATCAGCCTTTTCAAACAGCTTATTGAATGAGGAGCGCCGCTCGGAAACCTGCTGTTTATCTAGCAGCCTCCTCTCTCTCCTCCCCTCATCCCCCTCTCCTCTCCTCCCTCCAGGTAGCTCCTGTGTTAGAGGATGTGCGCCGCAGGAGAGGAACACAAGCCAAACTGGAAATCTCTCCCTCATTTCCTCTGTCAATATCAGACATTATAAAGGGGAACTCCACCAATTTCCCAAAATTTCTGCACAATTCAACAGGTAAGACGCGAACAGCGTCATTCAGAGTGGTTTGGTGTCAACTTACCAGGTCAGAACTGTTCACAGTGGTGGTGATAGGAACCAGACGTCCACCTCTAAAAGCTCCCTCACAGAAAGTTCCTACATGAAATGGTTATGAATTCACTGCCTGATGACTGAGACACTTTTATGAAACAGACCCCAAAGAAAACTTTTATTTTTCCATATTTTCCACTATTTTCCATCATCAACATTCCATATAAACTCAGAAGACTCGTGTAGGTTCACTGGTGGTTTTGGATAGTAAATAAACTGTCTATATTTGTGTTGTAGTCATGGCGACCCCTGGTTCCTATCACCACCACTGTAAAGACATCTGAACCATTTCACACCAAACCACTCTGAATCTCTCTGTTTACATCTCACATTCTGAATTCTGGAGAAATTTTGAAAAATCGGTGGAATTCCCCTTTAACACATGCACTCACAAATTACATACTAGCTCTGACAGATAATCTAAATAGAAGAAATTAATGATTAAATGGCTCACGGACAATTAATATTGCTCTCTTAGAGACATTTGAGTAGCATCATTCTGATTAACCCCAATGCGTTATATTACTAAATTACAGAAAAAGTAATTACGATAGGTATTACAGTAATTACTTTAGCATTTCCCATCGTTTCCCACACTGCTAGTCACTTCTTATGTAATAACTAGATACATTAGTAATTGGAGAGCTAATGCACTGTGCAATCTTTGTGCACGTTTGTTTTTGGTGAAAATAAAGAGCTGAAGTACGCGTACCTGATCCACATGGATGTAGTAGAAGTGAGACGTGTGGTAAATGGCCTTGAAGAGGCGCTGCACCTGGCGGGCCGCTCGGCCGTGGACCACCAGCATGAAGGCGATCCGCACAGGCACCGCCGGCACCGTCTCCATGGAGTCCTCCTCCCAGTGCACGTTCATACTCGCCTTCCCTGCACACGCATACAGCGGTATACTGTTACTGAGGTCCAGGGAAACTCCCACTGCCAGCAAGAGTCTGTTTAGCAAATAAATAGGCTCACAAAATCCATAAAACACACAGACAAATATTTACTTTTCTTCACTGGCGCAGGAACTGGAAATGATCATTATAGCTAATTCAGGTCAAAGAGTTTCAATGTGTGCTTTTAACTATAGTTTGGAGAAGAAAACTGTTAAATCATTACTCTTCATACCAAGGATTCAGGACTTCAGGAACAAAATAAGCAAAAAAAGTTTCTAAAGTTTGCAAGTTCTTCAGAATAAAAAGAACGGTGATTTTAGTGTGGGTGTTTTAGCCCACGCACTAACTTTGAACCAGTTCAGTATGATCCCTATACACGCTGATATATATTGAAACCTACACCGATCAGGCATAACATTATGACCACCTCCTTGTTTCTGCGCTCATTGTCCATTTTATCAGCTCCACTTACTCTATAGGTGCACTTTGTAGTTCTACAGTTACAGACTGTAGTCCATCTGTTTCTCTGATACTTTGTTAGCCCCCTTTTACCCTGTTCTTTAGTGGTCAGGACCCCTATGGACCCTCACAGAGCAGGTCACTGCTGGACTGAGAATAGTCCACCAACCGAAAATATCCAGCCAACAGCATCCTGTGGGCAGCGTCCTGTGACCACTGATGAAGGACTAGAGGATGACCAACACAAACTGTGCAGCAGCAGTCTCTGACTTTACATCTACAAGGTGGACTGACAAGGTAGGAGCGTCTAATAGAGTGGACAGTGAGAGGCACTGCTGTGTCTGATCCACTCGTACCAGCACAACACACACTAACACACCACCACCAGTCAGTGTTAGTGCAGTGCTGAGAATGACCCATCACCCAAATAGTACCTGCTCTGTGAGGGTCCATGGGGGTCCTGACCACTGAAGAACAGGGTAAAAGGGGGCTCACAAAGTATGCAGAGAAACAGATGGACTACAGTCTGTAACTGTAGAACTACAAAGTGCACCTATATAGTAAGTGGAGCTGATAAAATGGACAATGGGTCATAATGTTATGCCTGATCAGTGTATATCCTGATAATTTCAAAATAAAGGTGTCCCCAAACTTCTGAAGCGCAGTGCCTATGTACAGATGTACAGGCGAGGGTGGATGAAGCACCATTAACAGACTCTGGCTCGTAAGATCAGCCAGGCTAACGCTGAACCTTCCGGACCTTTCGGCACAAAGACGCATTAGAGAGGCTCCACTGACCCCATCAGAGACGCGCACCAGCAGGGGTGACCGCAGGGCCGGCCGTGCCCTCCTCTGCCTGCTGCGGGACACAGAGGGAGACGAACTGGAGCACAGTACAGTGAACAGAACAGCAAATCTCACAGCTTAGAGAAACATTAGACGCGCTATTACTGTCTTGGCACCCGCGGCCACATAACCAGAGCGCAGCATCACCTACTGGACCTGAAGAGTTTCACTGGATCCATCTCAGTGGCGGCCGGTCATCAGACACCATCACTTATCCTCCAGTCATACCGACACAAATAGCCTATAGCGGACCACAAGGGCCGGGCCGAGGGGCAGCGCAGCGCTCTAAAAATGCCCTGTCCGGTAAACATACGCACACACGGGCTGCTGACAGCACGTCTACCCTCTCAGCACATGGCAACAGCATCACTGACCACAGAAAACCACACGGTTTAAAAATGACAACTGAACTTTATACTGTGTGAACATTTAATGAAGAATGGAACATAAAAAAATAGAATTAAAAAAATAATCTTTTCAGATGTACAAACAGTGATGCCTGGTTCAGTGACTAAAATTAAACTTGGGTGATTTGATTTTAACTCGATTTTTCAGTAAACTTTTCTAGTTTAAGTGACCTCAACACAGTAAGATTTGGAGATAAATAATTATATAAATAAATCTCAACCTTTCTTTTCATAACCTCTTCACTGTTCTCATATATACAACATATATATTTTACAAAATATAGTAAAATATATATATATATATATATAGTACTATACAGAACCTTTTTTCATTTAGCTCGCTTCCTGAAAGTTTAAAAGTAAAGCAAACAATTCAGCTAATAAAAAAAATGCTAATGAGAATTAGGATTAAAAACGCAAAAAAAAACACTTTAAAATTGAAAAATAAGAAAAAAATGTAATATATATTTTTAAAGAATAACAACTTTCTGTTGTCCCAAAACAGAGCTTCATCACATCTATTATATGACATGAGTATTGTTTAACTGAGTTATGTTTATGACACAAACATTTATGGACATATTTTGAGCTTGTTTCATGAGAATGACAAAGTTGTTAAACTAGAGATGATAAGAAGGCCTCGTTGGGTTACACGGCAACAAGGTTCATTTTAAGCAAAGATCACAACATTTTTCCCTATTTATTCTTTTACACCTTTTAAAAACAGCATGTGCATTAACTCTTTTTCACAGAAGCTACGGAATGTCAGAATAATGTAAGAATGTAAGAAGAAAACTGGATTTCCATTTTTGTAGGTGATCGAGCAAATCAACAAATATAAAAGTGTTTTTCTAGTACAGGATTGTTTGCTATTAAGAAGCTGAAGTTGCCTGTTTTATCTCAGCTTTCACTCCTCATTGCTCACTAGCAGCTCAATACAGAGTCACAACATTCCACACACAGAGAGAGACAACAGAGTCCAACTTCATCTGATAACAGAGTTATGGGGAAAGTACTTCATTTGACCATATTAATACAACTGAGTTGATTCCGTTCTGCCTGCAGACTGGCCACTAGAGGGCACTGCATAAAGAGCATAACATTAGCAGATTAACAGAACATTAATTTCAGCTAGAGCTACGGCAGTAAGCGCTACTGAAAAATATCAATATTTTTATTTTTTAAAACCTGAGCTACATATTCAATATATATCAAACAGGCGACTGAGGCCTTTTTGGGCTGGACAATATGACAATATATATCGTTATCATGATAAATTATTTTACAATACAATATGCTTTTCTGAACATATCGTGTATATCGTCAGTGCTTGTAGAGACTGACCAACTGCATGTTTCATTACAAAAAAAGCTAAATTAGCGCAGTTTAACTTGATTTAGATCAAAATAAGAATAAAAAACCACTATATTTACAGGTTCTGATAGCAGTTTTTAAAATGTAGCACTGCTGGCTCTTTTCTGTTCCAACCGATCAGATGTCTGAAAAAAGAAATATCGTGACATACTGCGTATCGTATATTTAGGAAAGAAAACCTTTCAAGCGTTTTTTTAAGTCCAGTTAACAGATGTTAAATCAGTGATGATCTGGTGCTTCTAAAGATGGCCACGTCGGGTTCCAGGGCGAGCGGGTTAAATTTAAGGGCCTGGTATAGAGTTACGCTCTGGCGCGAGGCCATGCGGTGGATGTAGGCTGATGAGATGGCCCGTGGAGGAGTAATGACTATAATCTGAGCCTGAAGCGTGTCCTTACTGTCCCGGCCTCCACTGCCCTGCCCCGGGCCACAGCCGGCAGCTTCAGGGGGCTACAGGCTGACCGTATGGAGGGCTAAAACTGCGCTCAAGGGCTGAAAAGGTCTGGTGGCTCCTCTAATCAAGTCCTAGAGGTTTTAACCCTCTGTGTTTAAGACGAGGACGGACCTGCCCCACTTCAAACTGCGCCAACGCCCGCTCGGTCTGCAGCGGCCCTCTCATTACCGCTCGGTTAGTGTCGTCCTCCGCCCGCAAAGAACAAAGACCACCTAATGCAGTCCAACCTGTTTGCGTAGTCTGTCTGATCTATAGATCTCACAGGCAGAGCTCACACTGGCCAGGCAGTCTGGTAACCTCTGATAACACAAACCAAAAGCATGTCGTAATTTTATATTATTTCTCACTGAATCCTGTTCAAAGTGCAGATTCTAAACTTCATATCCATATCTAATCGGTGTTTGTAAGTAGATGAGGAGACACATTATTATGATCTAAAGAAAGAATCTTAGCTAGTCACAAACAGGTTACAGAGGAAGCCAGTCCTGAGCTCAGATACTGCTAGAAAGTCCATGCGCAGAAACAGCAGAAGCAGAAAGTCCTGTAGCCAGTCAGCAGCCTGTCCATGATGTCCACCCTCACACGCATATACACACACACACACACACACACACACACACACACTAACAGCAGGCCATGTAGGAGCAGAACAGAGTGAAGGACACAGCACCTCCACACTTTTACCCCCCGCGGGTTCAGCCAACACCACATGTGTAATATAAACGTGTGGGGGGTGAACAGAGTGAAGACACTGAAAATGGGTTATTTTATATGTTCTTCACAGAAAATGATCAAAGACCAAGAATCTGAGGGTGAAATAATAATAAATCACATCATTTTTTATTTTGGTAAACGTTGAAAATGGGTCCCACAGACCTGAACACCACACGGGGGTTAAGCATGCAAAGCAAAGCTATACAGAACCACTGTCTTCACTAAAGAACCCTCGAAGAACCTTCTTTTTTAAGAGTGTACGTTTATTTTGGATGAACAGTTTTCATTCATTTTCAGCCTTTTTGGGGTTTTCGGTTTCAGTTTCAGCCCAAGATTTTCATTTCAGTGCAGCAGAGAAAGTATTTCAGGCTAATTCTGCCAGTCTCCTCCAATGAATGGCCTGGTGGACATTTTTGATCCACCCAAGAAGCATCTGTCTTTTTTTGGTGCCCTTCCACAAACGTGTAACTTCCATGTAGGCCGAGGCACTGTGGTGGGAAACCACTGCCTTCAAAGCATCCACCGATTGCCTCATACAGTAATTACATGAAGCACACATATATATGTATATATATATAAATACATGCACTGTACATGTGGCTGGTGAGCTGAACTCAGCAAAATGAGCTGAAATTAGCATCTTCTTGCCCCGCCCCCTCCTCCAACCATCATGTCTCTGAGGCGATGGCCTCGTCAAATCCGTCAGAAGCTACCAAGGCTTCCGGAAAGTTCTGGAGCCCTACGCTGATCCATCACTGCTCTGTTTAAACGCATCCGCCACCCTGATTAGTGCGCAGAACACTAAGCGCTGCGTAATTGCATGAATATGCTTTCTGAAGAGAAAGTGAGGAGGCGAAAAAAGAAAGAAAGAAAGAAAGAAAGAAAGAAAGAAGGCACACAGCGCAGCAATTACAAGCGTCTAACCTCGCGCGGAAATCCAGAATCTCATTTCCAGCCTGTCTCTGATTGTAATTACAAGCGGCGTGTCTGTCTGTTGCCAGCCTTGTAAGTCTTAATGAAGCCCCTCCATAAACCTCCGCTGACAGCACCGCAATTAATCCAGGAAAACCACCATTATCTTTAGTATTATTTATCTTAAACTCAGACCGAGCTCTGATAACATTTTCCTGCTTGACAAAAATAGCTGATGCCTGTAATCAGTCATTATCCCGACGGAGGAGGCGTCTTCGTTTATTTACTTTACTGCAGACAGACACCACCGCTGGCTCTTCTGTGTGTTGGTCACTGGCATTGAACTGGACTTAAAGGAACGGTTCTGCAAAAAATCAAACGTACACAAATATCCGCTCATCCTTAATATAGTTGGTCAGCCAAGATAAGTTTGGCGTCCTAGTTTTCCTTCTTTAGTTTCAGTGCTGGAGCTCCGAAGCTAAGGTAGCTAACAAACAGCAGAAGTCAATAGTCACCCAAATCTTTTCGTCCCCAAAACGTTTTGTGGTGTAGGACACAGTAAGAATCATTGTGAGCCAATTTAGACAACAGATTCCAGCCCCTCCATGTGCTCTCACAGCTATACAGACGCTACAGATTATCGGAGATTCTATCTTCAATGTTCAAACTGAAGATGTAAGTCAGGGGTCCAAGAGATACAGCACCTTTTTGAAAGTGGTTCTATAGAGCACCCAAATGGGTTCTTCTATTATAACAAGCTTGACATCATAACAATAGAAGAACTCTTTTTAGTTCTATAGGAAGCCCTTTTTCAAAAAGGTTCTATCCAGAACCATCTACAGCACATTCTGAAGTACACTTTCATGATGAAAAGAACCATTTAATCATGCAAAGGGTTCTTTGAGTGTTCATGGTTCTATATAGAACCATTTTCTTTACTAAAGAACCCTTGAAGAGCCATCATTTTAAGTGTGTATGTGATGAGATGTGTTATTATTGATTTTACCGAAAACATTGATTATTTGATGCAGCTGTAATTTATAATACACACCCATACTGTAGAGCTGGTGCCCTGCCTAGTTACGGTTGCTAAGTTACAACAGTCCTTAGAAGAGGAGTTATGAGTAAAGGGTCAAGTGGTCTATGCATAGACAGAGGATACTCACCTTCTAGGGGGCAGTAGCGAGTGACCTTTTCGGGCATCAGCTGCTTCTCTTTGTGGCGGCAGTAAACCTCGGCTATCTGCTGCCGGCACTCCTTGGTCTTGGCGCGGGAGAGGGCCGAGATGGCCTCCTTGCCTGTGATCTCGCATTTGGGCGGCTGGTCGTACTTGATGTCGGGGGTGGGGGCGGCTGGCCGTCTGGAATGCTGGACGTGGTGGCGGTGCGGCTGGGCCCGCTGGGGGTGCGGGGTGGAGTGGGAGGAGCCCGGTCGGAGCGCTGTCCGCGTACCGTTGGGGCCACTCTCGCCAGGACCATACCGGACCACCTCGTTGGAGCTTTTGGCCAGGCCTCGCTGGGCGTGGGCCTTTTCTAGCAGCTCCTGCTTGTGTTTGGTGGGTTTGCCGAAATTGCTGTTGTCTATGTTCTCAAAGTCCTTTGGCACCGAGTTCTCGTTGTTGCTGTCCACGCGGACTTTCTCCTTGGGCCGGTGGGAGTAGTAGACATCCTGGGGAACAAAAACAGAAGAGGGGGGATGGTGAGGATGGGCGATATGACATCACAACAATTGAAGACACTTTCATAGTATACATCATGGTGTTTGTGAGGTTGGTGAACCATTTATCTCAGCGTTAAGTGTGATTTCACTTACAAACAAACATAAATACAGAGAAAAGTAACAAGAATTTCTTGTTTTTAGAAAAGGAGCTGATATAAGAACATGTGCAGCTCCAGATTTCTCCTGGGCGCCTCCAGCCATCACATGATTTTCGTTTCATGTTGATTAGCCAAACCAGGTACTGGCTTACAAATACAATTAACACTGGGCTTTCTCAGGGAGAGGTTTGGAAATACATATTAACTCCTTAACACACATAAATCCACTATTTATTCCATTAATATTATTTGTATTAGTGGTTTTTTGAGCACATAAACACTTACTGACCAGACGAACAAATATACTTCTCTCAGGTGTCACTACCTTTTCCATCATAGAAAAGCACTGACCAACAGAATGGGACGCTCTAAAGAAGCCTAAGGTCACATGATCCTAAGGTCACTATTCCAAATGCCAAGCGTGGGTTAGAGGGGTATAAAACCCCCCAGCACTGGGCTGTGGAGCAGAACTGCGTGCTCTGGACAGATGGAGCTCCATCCAATACCTTTGGGATGAGTTGGAGTGACCCAGAATGGACCATTCACCATCAGTACCTGACCTCACTAATGATCAATCAAATCCTCAGAGCAATGTTCAACATATAGTGTAAAGCCTTCCCAGAAGAGTAGAGGCTGTTACAGCAGCAAAGGGGAACAAACTCACTATAAATACTAGAGCTGCAATTCAATAACAGTCCATAAATTTCATTATTAGAAAATTCAAAAATGCTATAAATACAATTATCAGTGTTGTTTTTTCATTACTTTGTAGCATTTCAATAATATTTTTGAAAAAACATAGATATAAACCAGTCAATAAAACATATACAATTGCACAAAAGCAAATAATCAACAATAACAATAAGAAACAATCAATAAAATAATAACTAATCATTTCTATAATAATAATAAGAGGAAGAATTTTAAAAATATATTTTCATTCAGTCTTTAAAATGAAACACATCTTGCTCTTTTCTTATACTTACAGAATATGAAAATATCCAAGATCATATTTGATAGAACATTCAATAATCAAAACATTTACTAGTTGCAGCCCTTGACTGATGAAATCAGATAATTGCATAATGGACTGGCATCCGATCTGACCCTCAGATGCTGCTTGTTGGCTCTCTATAATCAGAGAAGTGCAGATCATAATGATTACATACTCAGAAAAGAGTGTTGAGACATTATTTATTGTGATAATGATAACGTTTCATCGTATCGTCCAGCCCCGAGGGCCGACACCAGGAGAATGTCAGTGCTGCAGTTTATAAGGCTCGACCGCTTTGAGGAACAGCCTAATTACTTAGTTCCAAACCAGCACTATCCTGCTCAATGAGGCGAAGCCTGCAGACCTCTCCGGCCCTTTCAAGCAGAGGCAGAGTCCAGGCCGACGGGCAGCAGACGTACCCAGGCGTGCGCAGCAGGGCTGTGTGGGTGCTGAGTCATTTCATTACAGAAAGCAGAGCACCGCTGCATTACTGCCGGCGTCTCGTGCTGAATTTCAAATCAAACTTCTTCCCGAGACGACCGCAAAGCTTCTGCGGATCCCTTACGAGATCTCGCTTCTACATTTTTCATAAGTGCGCGAGTGAAACTGAGAGACAGGCAGGAAGTTCTGAGCTCTGGGTGAAGCTGTGCGCGCCTGCAGAAAGTACACCGCCGCCGCGGTGCAGGCCTGTGGAGGCAAATGTCGTCAAGTAAGCAAGAGTAGCGGCCGGCGACTTCCGCTTGCTGCACTTGCTACAAGACTTTTTTTAACCCACTGGGGTCTGAGGACTTGTCCTGGATCTGTTCATCTCTTCTTAAACTCTCCTCTAAAGGCTCTTCATATATCATGATCCTCATATGTTTCATATCTAAATGCTCCGTTATCTTCATCACTACTTTCCAAACCTGCTGCAGCAGCTTCAGCAGCTGTAAACTCTCTGTACACCGTTTCACATGAGTCTCCGATGTGGACTGAATGAAGAATGAAGGGTTTCCGGCGTGATGGTCAGTCTTTAGTGATTTCCTGAGTGTCCATTGGTCAGTTTCACACAGAATGTAGACGGACACACCAGTCCACCAGTTCCACACGGTGAGAGGCAGATGACGTGTATCTCAGCCCCTCTTCATAGGCTCATAACTCCGGATGTGAGTCTCGTATGATCTCATGATAAGATGGAATGGAAAGGGCGACTCTACAGATTCAGGAAGTGTCTGAACTGGATTTCTGAGCTGGATCATCACAAAGATACAGACACAGATATGGAGACATCGAGACCCCAGAAGGTTAACCCCTACAAATAAGCTACTGTTGGAGATGAAAGCAGGCTGTCATTTTATATGAATTACTAAAAGCTGTGTGAAAAGTGCCGACTCTAAACTTCTAATCCCATAACTCATTACTGTTTATAAGCAAAAGGTACTTTATTATGACTTGAACTGACCAGATATAAAAACAAGTCAAACGTAGGGGTCAGTGATGTGACAATCACAGCGTATCGTACTGTATCGTATTGAAGTGTATCATATTATTACATATCAATGTAACTATGCAATAATTATGGATATATAGTACAATGTATCATACTGTACTGCAGCACATTATTTTGTACCCTATTATATCACTGTGTGTATAAATAAATAATAATATTAATATATATATATATATATATATATATATATATATATATATATATATTTGAAAAAATTCTCATATTGCGATTTTTCTACTGTGACTGCGATTTAAACTGAGACTATTTTCTATAAAATATGCTTGAGGCTGTTTTTTTGGCTAAGAAAACCAGCAAATCCAGCTCTTCGGGCTGGAATGCTGAATATAGTGCGCTGGGCTGCCAGTTAGTTGTGGTTCTGATGTCACATTTGGTTTCTTCTTATTGGTCTAAAGGCAGTTTATGAGCTCCATGTTATTGGGTTCTATTTCCCCAATTAAAATTTGTTAAGACAGTGCTGTTGATAATGTAAGCTACAATAAAAAAACAGCAACTCTTGTGATGTGAAAATTGCACCTTTTTAAAATTGCAATTTCGAAATAAAAACAAACTTTCAGTTCTAATCAAGGTGCTGTTAGTTTAATCAGTTCGTCTTTCTTTCTCAGACCGAACGACTTATTTCTTGAGTCTGAGTCGAGTCAACATGTGACTTGAGTCTCTCTCTTTCTCTCCTCTCTCTCTGTCTTTCTCTGTATCTATGTCTCTCTCTCTCCTTCTCTCTCTCTGAGACCCCGTTGCTGGTCTGCAGCCTACCAGAGAGCTGATGCAGCTGTTTTAGTAGCTGCTGTCACCATAAACAGGACAAATCTGATTCCAGATCAGTTTTTCAGAAAATGCTGCAGGACAGATCTGCACTACATAACGGCTGGCCGTTTGGACCCGCTGCCCTCCGCCCACTCCCAGTCTACTCCCCATCCCCCGGCGGCCGACGCGCGGGGCCCAGCAGGAGGAAATTACAGGGACCTGGATTAATAGCCTGGGAAACCGCAGGAGGCGAGTTAGGCTGCCGGAGAGAGAGACTATCGATCGATCGCCCGCAAAAATCTGTCATTTCCCAAAGTGCACTGGGAGCACAGCTCTGCACTGCTGAGCACCCTGCCTGGACCGGCCTCTCTCTCTGCCTGTCTCTCTCTCTCTCACTCTGACTGTCTCTCTCTTTGTCTCTCTCTCACTCTCCCTTTCTCGCTCTCCTCTCTTTCTTTCCTCTATCTTTTTTGGTCTCTTTTCTCACTCTTCTTTCTCCTCTTCTCTCTTTTCTTCCCCTTTCCTGCCTCTTTCTTTTGTGTCTCATTCTCTCTTTTCTTTCATCTCTCACACACGCCCTCCCTTTCTGTCTGTTTTGTTTTCTTTCTTTCTTTGCCTCTTTTACTTCTCTTTTTTCTCATTTCTCCTTCTTTCTCTTCACTTTCACTCTCAACTTGTATATATGATCTCACACACATCACATACAGTCTTTCACTCTTTCCGTCTCTCTTCTCTCTTTCTTTTGTAAACTTTTCTCTTTTCTTACTAGCTCTCAGCTTTTGTTTCTTTTTCCTCTCTCTCTCTCTCTCTCTCTCTCTCACTGTGGCTCTGACATCATTCATCACCTGGAGGAAGAGGGTCAGCCACTTGTTTATCAGCTACACTTTATCTGCTCCTCTCGTTCCTCCTCCAGCAGACCACACACACCTTTTACATCCTATCAGAAAATCAGGGCATTATGTATCATATATGATTATATATGTAACTGTCTATATTAAACAGGACCGATTAATATAATTAATTTTGATTAATCTCATTATTTTGTGTAGCACATCATGATTTAATCACATGTGCTTTACTGGCTTGTATTTGACCCTAATATTTTTTTTCCATTTAAAAAGATGTACCAACCAATGAGTGTATATAACACACATATCATATATAAAGTCAAGTAGTATATATAAATATGTATCATTTATACAGTCAATAAGTGTATATATCATATACACCATATGTCAATAAATCTGTGCGTGTATATATATATATATATATATATATATAGTCAGTGGTTCAGCTCCTCCATGATTGCAGCCTTGCCCACTCGTTCAGACAGCTTGTGCGTTTAATCATGGATTCTATCATAGTGACATGCAGCGCTGCAGACTAGGAAAACATGTCAACAATCATGGCAATAATCATTTATCAAATTAATAATAATAGCAGTAATAATACATATAGAGACCATTTCTCTCAGTAAATTGCAGCATATAGAAAGACAGATAGATAGACAGACAGAGAAGAGAACCTACATGTATTTATAACCCTATTTCAACCTTGGGAACCAAAAAGAAAACAGATTCACTCTTTCAGTTTTAAAAAATTAAAG